AATGCATTAATCTATAAGTTTCCTATCAAGGTTAAGGAGTCAACTGAGCATCTCAGCGGCGGGATTGAATACCCGGATCGAATCAGAGTTCACGCCACTGCTGGATGTGATTCCAAGAGCCGAACGAGAATGAATACCACACAGAAGAGTCAAGACCAGGCGTTGAAGCTTCGCCGTAGTGACAAAGCTTTCATAGTCTGAAGGCAGGCCAGCGCCCTGTTCCATCAGGCGCGAATCCTCTCCATAACTAGTATAGTGGAGGTCTTACTTGTATTGCAATATCGCCTATCGCTTTCTTGAGTTGATGTTTAACTTGCACCTAGAGGATTCAATCTTCACTTCAAGACGCTATTTACCAAGGAAAAACTACCTTTTTTTTGAATGGAAGAAGCCGAAGGGGTGAACGAGCGCTGCGGTAACGAGCCGTAAGAAAGATGAGCAGAGCATTCCTTCCGCCGGCCTTTATAGGAGTAGGGGAGCGTGGTGAGATAGATAGACGTCCAATCCTGCAGCAGCCTAGGACGTTGTCTGGGCCAAGAGCCATAGTTAGTTGCTGTTTCCATTTGGTTGTTTCTTCCTCGTTGTTGATACCGGCAAGACATTCTATGAGTCTCTTCCTTTTTGCGTATGGCATCGCCACTCCCTTTGGCAGCATCCACTAATTCGGAACTTAATTTGAAAGCCGTTTTATTTAGGTTATACCTTGCTGTTTTCAGTCACAAGTTGAATACAACTGAAGATGGAAACCACCAAAGGATGTGGTGCAGTGGATGAGGCTGCTCCGCCTTGCAAGTCACGTCAGTACAGGCGCAGCGTAGCGTCATGGTAGCGTTAGCTATGCTCGACTAACAGGATGAGTCATGTGATTGACCTGACAGGATGTAAGGGAGCCACTACGAAAAAGTTCCGGGAGTTACGAAGGAAGCTTCGAGCTCATATTGGTCATGGGTTATGAACAGGGCGGGATTGATCGATCTACATCAAAAATTCTGGCTTCCCTTCCCAGGAGCGCATCTACAGAATAAAGAGAGCACGCACCACACGGTTTTCCTCTACAGCTGATCTTCCTCAACAAATTCAGGTTTTTTCTCTCAAAAAAGTGGGCTTATTGAATATCATATTGGTTTGGCTTTGTTCACTTTCATTTTATTAGTAGTAATGTTTTTGGCTGTCTTGTAGCTCTTTGTGAGCAGGTCTATGTACTTGGCTTAACAACATCAAAGAGGAATCGAACCTCTTCCATTTCTGTGTTAACAAAAATCCATTTGATGTCCGCATGAGCGTTGAAAGTCTTCAATTCGACTAGAGCGTTAGATTCTTTTTTTATTTTGACTTCTTTCAAAGGTTCTCTCAGACTAGCATCAACTGATGTTAAGGTTAACCCAATAGTCAGGTTTCATTACTTCCGAAATCCTGGTGATGGATGTGGAGAGCGTCGATACGATAGGTTGATTTACCTTACTAGTCATATGCCCTAAAGGTTTACTGTCTGGATGGTACTTTTCAACAGATAAGCGAATCGCGCTCAAGTGGTGGTTGACGACTCTACTCCTTGAAGTGAAGAATCGAAAGTCGTCGTTCGTTAGACAAGGCCCACGTGCTGTGCATCTCTGGTGTTCTGCTCGTGGGGAGAGGAATGCGGGAAAGTGGGGTCCTCTCACCTGTGCTCACTTCCGTTTTAGAAGTCAGATTGGATTTCCAATTGGTGCTGGTGGCGGAGAGGTCGGCGCCTGTGTTCTGGCTCTGGGGGGGTGGGTCTTCCCTTTCTCAATTATTTAGTACTCGGTTAGGTGCAAGACTTCTTCCATTGTCTAGGGTATATTCCTGCATTTCATTCAGATGGGTTGAACAATCATGTGATTGTTTCTTTTCAAGCTGATGAGTAGAAATATCGTATAAAGAAAATGACAAAAGAAATCTCTGATCTCTTCCCGGGTCAACCCACTCAATATCCGAGAGAGGGTAGGCTTTTGGCGGCCGCAGAGACGGCGGATAAGGCAGCGGATGATACGTACTTGGAAATAAGCAGATCATAGATAAGTTTTTTCATGCCTCGACTCTCCCTCGGTTCGTTCGGAAATCATGGTAGTCTTTTCATGGAGATTATTGGGAACGGAAATGTGCCTGGGGTTAAGAACAACGACAAAACTGCCTTCTGTCTGTTGCCATGGAATAGTGTGAACTCCCCTACTGATCTGACTCCAGCGGATTCTCGGCTGTACATTGTATATCCTAAAATATGTCGAGCTTCTTGGAGCTTCTGTCAAAGGGATAATCTAACCTTTTTTTCTTTTTTTCTTTGTGCATCATTTGTTTGGCTAGTCTGTATTTGAGTTCCATGCATAAGATCTGTTAAAAGAAAAAAATAGGATCTATCTCAATAATTTCTTTATTTGCAGAATTTGAAATCTTCGGTACGGAATAACCGAAAAGCATATACATGAATGCATCTGAAATCTTAGAAAGGGAAATTAAAAGGGACGAATCTTAGTCATGTAAAAGCGTGAAGTTTAAAGAAACTTCTAAGGCTGCTTACCTTTTCTTACTTTCCACTTTTTTGTGATTGGATAATTAACAAACCTAATACAAATCAGAAAATTCAACGACCCACTCACGATTTTCAGATTTTCAACTTTCCTCCCCATAAAGTGGAAAATCTCTCTAAAAAAAGAATATTAGTTGAATGGGCATTGATTTCATATATTTATCAAAAAAGGATTATTTATTTTGAGTTTTATAGTGATCTTTGGAGTATTTTACTCGGACCTACAAAATGTAAAAATCCTTGCTATAGTGATATCTGCTGCTCCTCTCGGGCTGTGGTTTTTCTTATTCAAAATGGTTTTTCACGTAAAAATCTTGGTGTCGTTGTCATTATTTTATTCTTATTAATTACCGTATTTCAGTATTACATTATTATTCCGCTTTTATTATTGTGAATATTATTTTTGTGGGGGTTTATTCCACATAAGCTCCGTGGAAAAATAGAGTTAGGATTGAAGAAAGAAGAAGAGATTGAAGAATGAAGAGAAAAAGAAGCAAAGGGGAATAGGAGCCGCGAGCACTAAAATTTGGGAGCTGGGGAACCATAATTTTTCCAATTTAAGTACTCCTATAAAAGTGGATTTTTCATATAGAGGCCTTTGTGACAACTTGAACTTTGTGGTACTTTTAAAAGTCTTTTTTAATGCTCAACACTAACCATAAAAAGTGTCCCTCATACCTTATACTAGGCCCCGTTTTTTCAAAAATATTCTTTTCTTTTTTTCAAAAGAAAAAAATTTCATAAAAGCATTTGTACATGAAATTTTACAAGTTTTTGAAATTTTTTTGAAATGAGTTTTTCAAAATTCACCTTTTCAAAATTTTCAGAATTTTTTTTCCCTTCTCACAAAACTGCAATATTTATTCAAGTGAAATGCATATCCAAAAATAATTTCAAATTTCAAATACCATTTTTCAACTTAAACTCCAAATACTTTTTTTTTCAAAATTACAATTTCTATGTCCAAACACATAGTTAAAACTTTTTATCCTAACAAAATAAAATGCAAATCTCAAGAGCCCCTTATAATTAGATCCCCCATGTAAGCTTAATTTTCCGTATTTTTTTCCCTCTTTTTCCTTTTCATATCTCCAATAAATAAATAAATAAATAAAGAGCTACTTGGTGCATTAAGCTCCCCAAATATATGTGGGTTCAAATCTCCAATCTTATAGAAATTCTTTTAAAAAAATAATGCACACACAAATGATGCCACATGCCAGGAAAGAAGATAGGTTTCTTCAATATGGCTTCTAGGATTCATTTTACTGTAACAATACTGAAGATACGGATCCACGCCGACCATTCTGGATAAAGCAAAAAACAGGGTGGCATATATTGTTTATAGTAAAATTTAAAGTACTAAGACTAAACAGTAGAATCAACAGAATCAAAACCCATCAAAGTAATATTCTCGCCATCCAAATATTTTTGTACTCACACTGAACTAGAGTTTATTCTAACTAATTTACTGAGTTGGTCAATTGGAGAAGATTTGTTTCCTTATTACATTATAGCCATATATATAAGTTTCATACTGTATTAAAATGGTGCACTTAGTTGGGTTAATTTTTCTTCGTGTTAGAGCTACTCTTGTAAGCTCGTCTTGCCTTATCTATTCTTATTGCTTTGTTGTGTGACAAACAGTTGACAGCAATTATACTGAGTGAACAAAATATAGCTTTAGAGACTAGTAGATAGACCGTCAAAGGATGTGGTGCAGTGGATGTGACTGCTCTTCCCCTAATCAGATTTCTCGAGTTCGAGCTCTGGGTATGGAAAAATCCTTGGTAGGGAGCGCTTCCCCCCGAATGGGATCCTACGCGGCGCGAATCCGGATATAGTCGGGCTCTAATATGGGTACCGGACACCGGGTGTGAAACCAAAAAAAAAAAGACTGAGAGAATGGGACACCAATATTTTTACTCCATTCTTCCTAAATAAGACACATTATGTTTTTTTTTTTTGGGTACATTATGTCCTTTTATAATTTTAAAATTAAGAAAAAGATATTTTTAGAGTAAAAGACAGATCTCTTCCGTATAAAATTAAATTTTCCATATGTAAAAAAAAAAGAAATAGAATTATAAAACTACAAACATATTTGCAAAGAACCACAAAACCAATTCACCTTCATGTTATGATAGAGGGTTCACTATTACCTTTTAATTTTAATTAACATAGGTGGGGCTGATGGCCAGAAATGAATGGTATAATAGCTATTCGCCATTTATTAGACAACACTTGCTTAAGTTTTTTCATTTCATTTTTTTCCATTTGAGAGAGTCTACTTTCGTCTCTGTCATGTTTGATGCATTCGCTTCTCTCTTTGCCATGTATGTTCGTAAGGAATAAAGTATTGAAGAATTCATATATGATCTATTATCCGAAAGATCAAAGACAAGCAAATTTTGCACTTTGCGGTAATCTCTCCCAAGAAAATGTTACTAAAGAAACATTTTAAAATATTAGTCAATCTTCAATTTAAAAATTGGGAACTAAATAAGTGACATATATTTTGAGATGGTGAAAAAATCACAAAGGAAAAACTTGAAATTAATCGACTTGAGGTATTTGCTTGGTTCTTTTTATGATGGTAGTATCGGGCCAAGATACTGGCAATCTCCTATGATACTAAGAGACAACTCTTCCTTCAAAACTTGAATATATGAAAAAAAAATAACTTAGGTTTTTTTTTGCCTCCGTTGACATCTGCATGGTGTTAGAATGGCCGATAACTTCTACTCAAACCATTAGTCAAACCATTAACGCTGGCGAAAAATCCTATTAGGTCTTGCCTATACGGTAAATACGATTTTCTTCTGTTCTTATCACCTTGGTTAGCCGCTCTATTTCGTATGTAAGCCGCCACCGGTGACTCTCCGCCCGTACCACTTCCTTTCAGCTGCTTCGATTTTCCGGCCGCCTTTACGACCTCACCTAAATTCGTTGTTTCGCTTTTTATTGACTTTTTCGGTGTGAGAAATACAAAACTAGTGTCCTTGCCGTCGCTATTACTCCGCCTTAACAAATCTCGAAGCTTCGGCCATCGCTTTGGCGCCGATCCAGTTGATTTACTCTTCTTACATTTTCCCGGTGACGGCTCGCTAATCTTCGGCTTCCACACACAATATGTTCCCGGCGGCAAAATCTCCAATTCATCCACATCTGATGACGCCTCCGACGCCGACGTCGTCGTCGATTCCAGTTCTTCTAGGAAAAAACTCTTCAACGGATTTCGAATTTCACTATCAACGGCATCCGACGACGACGATTCATCGTTAACGTTTAATAATAGATCGCCGTTGAAAACAGGGAAAATTGACTGAAATTCAGTTTGACCGCCGTAGATGAGTTCCATGGTTGAGAATTCAAAATCTAATTCCTGGCTGTTATCTCCGTCGAAGCAATCGCTAGCGTTCTCCTCCGCTGCCTCCTGAAATTCATCGGAGATTTTAGCGGCAATTTCAGCCAAGTATCCGAAGCTACTAAAGCTAGGGCACAAATAATTATCGTCTATGGCTTCCTGCATGATTTTGTTTTGCGTGATTGTGTTTTCTCTGTGTAGGTTTTTTATGCTGTGCTGTTCCGTGTAGGGAAAGAGAATTGTTTGTTCTGTTAAGAGCTGTGCGGGGGTTTTATATATAGTGTTTGAAGGGGTTTAGGAAGTGCTCTTATTTCCTTTTTGTTTTCTCGGAAAGTGATTTTCTTTTTCTTGTAGGAAAAGAGATTGGTGGGCCCATCACTTCACACGGGTGTTTCTAGAAGACTAAACTTATTGAATTTAATTTAAATTTTTATGAACTTATGGGGCTTGTGTATTAATGCTGATTTAATGTATTTCTTAGCAAGTTCTTTAATTACTCATGTAATACGTCATTTAGGCCTATTTAACAAGTTACCTTCTTCTTCTTTTTTGCCTTTCTTGCCACGTTCTTTTGTCATGCATTACGTCATTTAGGCCCATTTATCATGTTACTTTTTCTTTTTGTTTTAATCTTCTTTTTTCTTTTGTGTGTGCACTCTATTTCATGTTATATGATTTGTGTAATTGATTAATAAAGTTAAAATAACACGTGTTAGCCAGTTTTTGAATTAGTAAAATAGTCAATGTTTACAAAATCATTGAAAAATAGCCACTATTTTATTGCAACACGGAAGGTTCCAACATAATATACTGGAGATTGGAGCATCTGTGTATGAACTTCCAGCATATTCTATTGGAACTCCAGCACATTATGAAATTCCAGCATGTTATGCTGGAAGTTCACATGTAAAAATTCGAACTCCAGTATTTTCCGGATTTTGAGCAATGTTTTGGTTTAGATTTATCTTTACATGAAAAATAGCAAAATTTTGACTACTTTTGAAACTGTGGCTATTTTTCAATTACCACTTGTAAATATTGCTATTTTTTATTTTCACCCATTAAAAAAAGATGAAGATTCATTTTATGCCTTTATGGCCCATTAAGAATCTTATTTTCGTTGACATTTCCGCCGAAAATGGTAATATCTAATATAGGAGATGGGTAAATAAGACAATGAGACCACTAGTATGGGGAAAATGCGAACTCTTGGGATCCTACTAATTGTGTTAATGAAGTAAATTGTATCCAGATCAATTGCTTTCTATTTGTATTTGATCCCAAGAGATCACATTTACCATATTTTTAGTGAAATATACTTTTGATAAATAAGTTTTATACGCGCGCACCAAGAATACTCTCAGCATCTAGAAGGAGTTATGGTGTTAAACATGTTATATCAATAGTTTTTAAAAGGGAGTATCATATATATTAAGATTAAAACTCATCCAAATAAATTAAAATATATACTAATTTCTTTATGGAATTAACTAAGAAAGACGGGGTCATACAATAAAACAAAAAAAACCAGGGTACTTTTACTAACTGACTTTCTTTTCTATTTTGATTTCTCTCGTACATTAAATTAATTAATAATAGAAGTCAAGGTGATGCCGCATATATACTGCATTCTGACCAAATCAATGGAATTGCTGCTCTGCATTATTTGGAGTTGCTATGGCATAAATGTTTCACCGTGTATTTCCTTTGGCGAGTCATACATTATCAGCAGAAAAGTCTCAATACTTTTTAAGTTCAACGACAAAGTGAAATTAGGTTCCCCATCGATCTGTTTCCACTATACAACCCCCCTCCCCCC